AACTGGACACTCGATTGGCAAGAGCCACTTTCGTCCTGTGCAAACTGGACTGAACTGAACTGAAGACCACACTCCCGCCACGACAAACTCCCAGAAGACCATCGTCTTGTGTGCGCACTTTTAGAATGTACACAAGAAGGATGAGGGTGTCCTTCTACCCATTCATCAGCCAGTAGGTTCCATGCCGATGGAGGAAATCATTTTTCTACCGGAGGAGGTGGAAAAGACTCTGGTCAGTTTGTATAGGGGCAAAGCGGCGGGTCCGAATGAAATCCACTCGGCACTGCTTAGGCCTCTGAGAAGTATCCTGGCAGCTCCCTTTGCTCGCCTCTCCAATCAGTCCATGGCGGCAGCCACCTTGCAACAGAACTGGAAAGTAACTACTATGGCCCTCATCTTTAAAGGCGGTGACAGGGAGCTGGCCACCAAATATAGACCCGTTAGCTTACTCTCCGTGCACCTAGAGGTCATGGAAAGATTAATTAGGGATAAGATGGCCAGCTACTCCACCCAATGAGGCTTGCTGGCGGAGGCCCAGCACGGGTTTCGNCGGGTTTCGTAAAGGCCGTTGTTGCCTCACAAATTAGCTAGCCTTCCTGGATGTGGTGACTGAACGACTGGACAGGAGGTGGGAGTTGATGTCGGCTATCTAGACTTCAGTTAGACCTTCGACTCCGTAAACCATCGGCTGCTGTTAGGCAAGCTACGATCAATAGGGATCCACCCCAGTTTAGTCAAGCGAACTGAGAGCTACCTGACAGGAAGAACTTTTTGTGTAAGAATGGAGGGGTCGGACTGCGGGCAGGCTTACTGTGGGGTCCTACAAGGCGCGCTCCTTGGACCATTGCTGTTTCTTGTCTTCATCAATGACTGAATCCCCGTCTATCAAACCCAACGTTCGTCTTTGCAGACGACGTCAAACTTGTTGGCTCGCACCAGGATGTCGACCTCTAGCTTGATCTAGATGCAGTGCAAGCATAGTTTGCAGAGTGGGGTCTCCCTTTAAATGCAGCGAAGTGTAAGGTGCTGCGAGCCGGGAGTGCTCAGGGGTCTGGACCACGCTACATGGGAGCTCAAGACGGCGAGGCCATGGAAGTAGTGCCAGGGATCAGGGACCTAGGGGTCACTCCGAACTCCGCTTTTAACTCCTCTGCCCAGTGTCTTGCTGCGGCACATACGGCCAATAGGCTTTAGGTCCAGTGACCCTGTCGTGCTAGTCCCGCTCTACATGGCCTTCCTTCGGCCACACCTAGAGTAATGTGTGCAAGCTTGGGCCCCAGCTCTGAAGAACGACCAAAGGATTCTGGAAAGGGTGCAGAGGAGGTTCACACGCATCTTCCAACACCTTCGGGGTGCGAAATACGTGACGATTTTCGAAAGCTTTTGTACACAACACTTTTCTAAGTCCATTATCTTCCTTTTCTTCCCTCTTCTTTACCTTCTATAAACTCAACATTTAACGGTTGTTTTAACCGGCCTCCTCATTACTTGCTCGGTATCTTTGCGGTCTCGCTCCGTGATTTTCTCAATTGTTTGTCGTTCTGTAACTGGGACCTACGACGGTTTCGTTAGTCGCGAATATGTATTGATGTATGCCTATAATAGAAACGAAATTTCAACTGTCGTTCAGCTGTTTTCCTACGTGCTGGAAATTTGGTCAGTCGAGGTCAAGACATTGCGATTGGTATTGAACGTTGTTCGGATTGACTTTACAACATATGTCGAATACCTTCAGAGGCTGAATCTGTTCTCACTTAACCGAAGAAGGCTGAGGGGGGTACCTGATTGAAACTTTCCGTATCTCGACGGGGTTCTCTCATGGAATCTCACACCTACTCCAGCGGAACAACGTCCCCCACAGAACGGGGCACAGCATGAAGTTAGACAAGCCTCGGGCACTCAAACGCCTGAAAGCCACCTTTTTCGTACCGGGTAATTTATACATGGAACAAATGCCACAGGAAGTAGTGGCGTCAAAATCCATTTCCGAGTTCAAGCTGAAGCTTGACGCATCCTGAGTATCAACGTTCTCCGATGGTATCTGACACCGGACCTAAGGTCGCTAATAGCTCGTCGGTCTCAGTCCCCCCCTCTTTATATTAGACTCCTTATCTTCACACTCCACTCCAATTTCTCCAACTCCCTCAACTCCACTTTTATTTACTGTTCACCACACATTTCACCGAAACTTCTCATAATCCAGTACCACCACTTTTAGGTCATGTTTCTTCTCCACAACATATCTCTTACTCTGGGTAGCTCAGAGCGGTGGGTTGCGAGCTGTTACTTTGATCCTGACAAAACTTTAGACGTGTACTGTCACTCCGAGGAACCATCAGAAGTGCGTTTTCTTTTTTTCACAACCGCACTCATTCACGTTTACGAGAACGAAATAACACAATTGTCGCAGCGCCGTGGTGCTCCTAAGCTCAGTGGTGCAAGAAACTGGACTGCTCCTGGCTCCGCCGCAAGTCCTGTGACCTGTCCTGTCCTGTTCCTGTCCTGTACTAACCTTGAGATGTGCGTATAGCACTGTAGAGACAAACATGAACGCTCGCGTAATGTCGAGTTCCCTCATGTACATTTTCCTATTTACCTTCTTCAGTGCCGTTTCATACAATACAATTTCCTGATTCTTTACGAGTCTTCTCCCGTAACTTTCGGTTACAAAATTGGCTAACCTAACAGGATCAAGCACTGAATATGCCGAAGACTCCGAAAGTGAAAACACGATCGCACAGACGGTGTACACATGCGGCACGCAGCTGGCAAACGTTCTCAGTGCGCTGACGGAACTATGCACCATTGGACCCACAGCGGCCTGCTCAGTCCCGGAGATGTACATTGTTGGAGACAACTTCCAGCGGTGGGAGAAGCAGTTGAAAATATATTTTGAAACTTTTCCACTTGAACTTTATCCCAATTTGTTGTTATCTTTACTTGGTGGAGAGGCCTTCGATGTGGTGATCGAGGCAGACTGCATGAGGGGAGGCAGAAACATTTGCTTGCCTTCGAGGGTTACTGGATTCACCCCTGCTGCCCATGAAGTGTAGGAAGCAATTCAACGCACGGCACCAATACGACTGAGAGGGCGTGCGAAATTTTGTGCGAGAATTGCGCCGACTGGTCAGTAGGACATGGGAAAATGATTCGCCCTCGGAATTGAAGACGCTGCTGGAACAACTAGTAGAAGAGTCCATATCAAATAACATACGACGGCATCTGCTCCTGAACCCACCACCGGACTTGAAGATGGCTGTCAAACGAGTAGAAGATCTGGAGAAGCTGGAGGCGGCCACGGCAGCACTTCGAGAATGCCTAGCGGTGGGACATGATGGTGCGCAAGAAGTCGGACACCAGGTATGACAGGAGGCCGAGGAATGCGACGACCGTGGCGGCCCAACTGTCGGTTCCAGTACAGACCGCCAGCTCATTGGTATAACAGGACATCCAACTACGGTGGACGACAACCTAGTGAGTCCAATCAAAAAATAACGTTGAATATCCCCACTGTTTGCTGCCAATCGAATAGCCAGGACACGTTAATGATCGAGCTAGCAATTTGCAATCGTTTATGACTTGGGCTGATAGATACAGGTGCCTCCCGGTCACTCATTAAAAGTTCAGTTCTGCGTAAACTGAAGGGGTATACAGTGATTCCATGTCTCGAACGTCTCACTGCGGCCAACGACGCGCCGATAACCGTCCTGGAGACGACGGTCGCTGCAATATCACTGACAGGCCAGGTACAGAAGCATTCCATGATTATTGCTGAGGATGTTCCATACGAGGTAATATTGGGAATGGACGTGTTGCGTAGATGGGGATGTACTCTGGCCTTCAATGATTTGCGCTTGGTCACCCCAACCCTCCCAGTTCCGTTTGTGATCCGCAGCCCGAAAACGAAAGATGCGCGTACCCTGTCTCTAAATACAACTGTGTCACCGGTGGAAAACTAAATCGAGAAGTTAGCCAGGGAACTGAAGTCTAAATATGATGACGGAACCATAGGTCAGCTAGTCAACACTATCCGAGGGAAAGCCGAAGTGTTCGCCTGGGAAAAAACTGACCTCGGGCGCACAGGGATGCTAAAACATCAAATCCAGACTGGAGCTGCAGTATCGATCAGGACTACACCCCGCAGGATACCGATGCAACTATAGGAGGAGGTAACTGATTTGATAACCGAGATATTACAGAGTAACGTTATCTGGTTATCTAAATCACCATGGGCGTCCCCTATTGTACTGGTCAAGAAGAAGGACGGCATTGTGCGCATGCGCATAGACTACGGAAGACTCAATCAAGTGACTAAGCGGGACGCATTCCCCCTTTCAAGAATAAATGTGTTATTCGGCACTCTCGGGGATCAACCTGTTTTACGACCTTGGACCTGGCTTTGGGTTATTGGCAGGTGCAGGTGGAAGAAAAAGACCAACCCAGGACGGCGTTAGTGGTGCCTACTAGGTTATATGAATTTCAGACTATCCCGTTTGGACTAACGAACGCATCAGCCACATTTCAGTGACTCATGCAGGAGGTGCTACGAGACCTAGTACCGAGTAAGTGTTTGGTGTACTTGGATGATGTTAGTATTTAGGGAAATCGCCACCTGAACACCTGCAAAACGTAGCGGAAGTATTACACCCGATTACGGAGAGTGACCTGAAGCGGAAGTCTTCTAAATGTATGTTTATGCAACCAGAGGTAGCGTACCTGGGTCACATAATATCTAATGCAGAGGTTCGCACCGACTTGCAGAAGGTTATAGAAGTGCAATCGTGGCCGATACCCCAAAATGAAACTAATTGCGCGGATTCCTAGGCCTTGCTTCGTATTATGGAAGGTTTGTTGTCGGCTTCGCCAGAATAGCTGCTCCACTCAATGCCTTGCTAGAAAAAGGGCAGGCGTTTCGTTGGGACACAGCGGGCGAGGAAGCATTTGAAATGTTGGGAACCAAACTATGTTCAGCACCAACCCTGTCTTTTTCAGACGTATCGAGTTCCGGTGGAAGTTTTATCCACGATACCGATGCTAGTGATGTGGCGATTGGTGCGGTATTATCGTAATTGGACGTTGACGGACGTGAACGTGTTACAGCCTATGAAAGCCGTAGCCTAAAGAAGTCTGAAAGAAACTACTGTGCCGCCAGGCGGGAAATACTAGAGTTAGTATTCTCCGTAAGGTACTAGCTGACATAAAGTTAATTTTATTTCGTATTCGTCGATGATCACAGGCCGAAGGTTTCAGAATAGCATTTACCATAGATTTTCACAGTTACATCGAAGGTGCAGTTCTTATTGATGGAGTTTAGCTCGTTTTAAAATTTCACTATGCGACACTTCGAAAGCTGACAAAAAGTTAACTTTATTTCGTATTCGTCGATGATCACAGGCCGAAGGTTTCAGAATAGCATTAACAATAGCTTTTCACAGTTATATAGAAGGTGCAGTTCTTATGCATTCAGTATGGGTATATTTCCCTACCGAGAATTCGTTCATACATATTAACCAATAATTATTTAATTATTTATATAAAATAATTTTTTTTTGTTGTCGGCTGCCATATGGAAACCGACGTTATATTTTCGGTCTTTAATAAGCAAAATATATCCTGAGTGACAAGGGTCTCCAGTTGGGATTTTATTCATGACTTGGATAATGAGGATCGATCAAATGACCTCGGATATTTTTATTAAAGCCGCGTTTGGATCCTGCGCGCTTACCCTATCGACACTGTTTAGTGAGCAAGAGATTCACTGTATGCAAGAATCATCATTCCTTGCAATGGTCACAGAATTTCCGAGATCCAGAGGGACAAATAGCGAGATGGCAAAAGCGCTACAAGAATACGATTTTGATTGTCGTCATCGCCCGGGAAAGCAACATGCAAACGCGAACGCCTTGTCAAGAAGACTGGCTCGTAACCATGGGGATTGCCTGTCCTGCAAAGAGCAGTACGTAATGGTGGTGAGCCTACAGGGGGCAGAGTACGAACGCTGGGAGCACGTGCAGTCTACAGATGCAGAGACGGCATTAATCTATCAGAGGATAAAAGAAAACGGGATAAGACCAGACGGGAAGGAAATGGAAGGAACCAGCGATGAAAGCAAGTGCCTATGAGCCTCATGGCATAATTTAGTCATGGGAGAGAATGTGCTCTTCTTCCATCATGGGGAGAATTATACAAGTCGGATTATTGTCCCCCAGTCCATGACGGATGAAGTCCTGACGAACCTTCACTAACAGTTGGGCCACGTGGGGAAGAACAAACTTGAGTGTGCAGCCCATCAGAGTTTTGGTGGCTCACATGAGACGGGGCGTAAGAAATTTGTGTGCTTCATGCGAACGCTGTGGCAGTTTCAAAAATCCACGGATGGCCTTCCGAGCTCCATTACAAACAATTTCTGCGGGCTACTTAAAACGAAATGGTCGGTGTGGATAACATGGGGCCACTTCCCGTGACAAGAAAGGGCAATAAATGCATCCTGGTGATCGTTTATTATTTCATAAAGTGGTTTGAAGCGGTCCCAGTAGGGCAAGACAATGCTGCTAAAACGGCCAACGCGATAGTGGAATAATGGATTTGCAAATGAGGTGCGCCAAACTAGTTACACTTCGATAGAGGAGCGAGTTTCGAAAGCGCCCTAATGCACGAATTATGTTGGCGTTGGGAATCGATAAAACACGAACTACAGCGTATCACTCTGAAGTAAAGATGCTAGTGGAGAGAACCAATAGGTCCCTCAAGGCAGTACTCAGGGCGTCTTAGGATGATAATGTTTTTGATTGGGACCTCATACTCAGTTGGTGTCTGTTGTGTCTGTTTTAATTCATTTACGTTGGAAAATTTTAGTTTTCGGAGGAATTTTTAATTGCTCTAAGTCACGTTTGTGCTAAATTTTCCGCTTATTTATTACCACGGAACCACTCCCGTGCGTATAATTTTAGATTATCTTTATCGCCAGTTCACGGTTTTATCATCATCTACTATTGGATTTTTTGTCCACTTCGTTTTTCCAACGTAGTTTGTATTTTAGGTGCTTTTCAGTAATATTTTTGTAGCCCGTTCGAAAATCGCATATTATATATTTGCGCTTAATTATGATTAACCCCGATCATAAGCACTCCATAGACAGCGAAGCACTCTGGGCCCAAATCAGGGCCCCTGAGTTCATGCCGGAGGATTCGGAAGCGTTCCTCGCACTTCTGGGATCGCGATTCCATGAAGCTCGCATCACCGAGCAACTGTCCCGTCATCATAAGCTGTTGTCCGCGGTCTCGCGCGACATGATTATCACATGAATATCCCTGCGCACAACCCGTACGACGTGCTGAAAGAAGCACTCCGTCGTATGGCAGTTTCCGAAGAGAAACGCATCCAGCTCCTCCTGTCAGGGATCCAATTGGGAAACCTCAAGCCGTCCCAGTTGTTACGTCAAATGCGTGCGTTAGTCGGCAACACCACACTCGACGACTTCGTACTACGCCAGATTTGGCTTCAACGGCTTCCACCATACGTCCAGAGTATTCTGAATGATTTCGCACACGCCCATAGTCTAGACGAACTAGCTGAGGCTGCTGACCGAGCAATGGACCAGGCTCAACTTTTCCAGTCCTCTTTGGCGAACACCCCTACGCCAAACTAGCACTCGTCACTGATGCGTCCGACCACGCAGTTGGCGTCGTCCTCCAACAACAAGTGAGACAGGAATGGCACCCCATAGCTTTTTTCTCCAAGAAGCTCCAACCGGCCGAGTCAGGGGACAGCGCCTTCGGTCGAGAGCTCCTGGCAATCTACCTCGGTATTCGCCACTTCTGCCATCTCCTTGAAGGACGAGACTTCACGGTCTTCACAGACCACCGTCCTATCACTTACGCCATTAAGTCTACCACCGACAAACTCTCCACGAAAACCACGACACCTTGATTACATCACGCTTGCTCACGCCTCTGTATCTCTCCCTTGCTCAGCAGGTCTTTACAATACAAGTCGTCCTCCGTTTCGTGAATCGCATCGTTCTCTTCTCGTACAAACGTACGTTTGCGACCTATACGTATTAGCTCGGGGTATCGATAAGCTAGCGCCTACAACTTGGTGAGCCCTCATTTAGTTTATTTACGAACTGCAGGAACCGACCTTGACTGCGCGCGGTTCAAAATCCGTCGTGGATTTGTAGACTCGCATTTTTACGTTTTATAGTTGTTTTTCTGTACATTTTTGCTTAAATCTTTAATTGTGGCCACCCTAAACTAACTTTATTCCATATTATCCTATTGCGATTTATTTTTTACTAGTACCACTACTCTTGAATTATTTATTCTGAGCTCTCTGAATCCTTCGACTAGGACACCTTACTCATGCAGGAAATCCCCATACCACACGAGGTGGTTGAAACCAGCGACTGGGCTAGTACTCAAATAGCGCTAGAAGCGGCTCTAGTTGCCCT